CCTACCACATTGTATAGCTTTGCTCTTTGTATTTTCATGAATTTCAGTGGTAAAACTTGTTGAATCGTATGGTTTAGATATCAAATAATGACTTAAGATGAAAATTTTGCTTTATTTGATTCTTTATGTTTTCACATTTTACCGAGGCCCATAAGTGCACTAGTTCTTAGTACTATATATGAAATACAAATTTAAAAAGATTAATAGGCTTATTAATTCTTCATCAGACTTAACCTTCTGTGTGTTAACCTTTGATCTTCTCAGAGAAAGGAAACTCTAAATAAAGGGCTCATTATTCATTGTTGTATCCTGTATATTAATTGAGTTCTGTGTGTATTTTATAACGTCATCATTCTAAGGAATTTAAATTAATGCATAATGCAATTAATGTTATTAAAAACAATATATTTCAAATAATATACGAATGATTCAGTAGAATTTAATTAATTAGAGGTTAATTTCCTTTTGGAAATTAAAGACTAAAAAAGAAACAGTCAAGCGCCATCTTCATCTTTATGTAACCTACCACCTGTTCAAAATGTGTACATTGTCAGAGATCGTAAGTCAACACGCTACCGTGGGACCAATGACTTAGTTCGTTCGATTTTATTTTAAGGACAGACTGCATCGACGTCTTTTGGGAATAACAAATCTAAAATATGATTAATTTTTTTATCTCAAAACCGATCAAATTACGATGTAATGTCCTGTATATCTGATGTATACAAAATTACAAAGTTTATAGGAAATTACATGTAATTTTTGGTTGCATTTAAATAATTGTAGAATTTTCTTCTGAACGTCAATACACTGCATGTGTTGTTTTAAGTTTTCAACTTAATTGGTAAAAAAAAAACATTTTCAAAGAGAAAAATTACCACATTATGTTACAAGGTTATTTATTATTTTTTAACATTTACACGCATTTATTAAAACACAAAATTTGATAGAAATGCCAAAATAAGAGAGCTTTCTACATACGCGGTCCAACATAACCAGGTATATGACAGAAGGTATTACAAAAGTAAGAAAATATATTTATTACAGACATTTGGAGATAACAAACAGTTTTCAAGATCAAAAGTCCATAAAACAATACAATATAAGAGCAGAGCAAACACGGACCTCCAAATATCAGAGATGGGATCAGGTGCCATGGAGGAGTCCGCATCCCCAGCCGAGCGGTCACTCCCGCCATGTGCTCCTTGTCAAAATAGGAAAATAACCGAAAAATTTGTCGTCAATTCAGAGTATAAATAATGGACTAACAATTAGTATGAAAAACGTCAGTCAGCATTTGACTATGGAACGCCGTCACTGCCTTATAGCAGAACACTGCTATTGCATTGTGTCAACCTTCCATTACATTATGTCAACTCTTTATGACATTAACCCACCCTACTATTGCATTGTGCCAACCTTCCATTACATTATGTCAACTCTTTATGACATTAACCCACACTACTATTGCATTGTGTCAACCTTCCATTACATTATGTCAACTCTTTATGACATTAACCCACACTACTATTGCATCGTGTTAACTTTCCTTTACATTATATCAACTGTTTATGACATTTACACATACTACAATTTTATTTCGTCAACTTGCATTTCGTTATGTTTACTTTTCATGATAATCTTAGTTTTTATTAAATGATGTGAAAAGCTCATGCCATACTGTGCGCACTCTTCTACATTATGTCGATTTTAGCTGAATTAAGTTGGAAACTTTTTTCTATAAAACTATAAAGCCTGAGAGCTTCTCCGCTTTCCGCCCTTGGTCTCCAACCATATACCGTCCCCCTTCCTTGCTCAAGATTCCCATATCTGCCACTGATATGTGCCCATGCATGCTTACTAAGGCATATTCAATTGATTTAGATGAGCGACTGGTAGATTTTTGTAATAGAATTCTGGCCCTGGAATGATTAAAAAAAATTACTAACTCCAGTGACGTAGCATCATTTTTTTGAAAGAGGAGGTCAGCCAGTAAAAAAAATCATTTATCCGAAAAAACTAGAAAAGCCAAGAAAAAAAATGTCCAAGCCCGAAAATCCTATTTCGGGGAGAGTGGTCCAACTTCAATCAATCCCATTTTTTTCCAGATATATTATATTACCCTTAGTGGACTATATTTCAACAAGAAGTGGGGGTGGGGGGCTGTACAGTTTCAATGAACATTACATTTTCTATAGTAAAGTTATGTCTGGGAAAAGAGGGGGGTTGATATTATGTGCCTGTAATTTGTCGTAATCAATCACGACCCCCCTCCCCCCCCCCCTTCTTACCAGTCATTAAAACACGGTTGTCAACATTTATTATATACTAGATATACAGCTTTGAGATAATGTAAATGTATTTTTGCATCAGGTAATGAACTTGGAATCCACATGATAAAGAGTTAACACAATATAAAGATATTTTTAAATCACATAAGAAAGAGTTGGCATAACGTTATAATATATCCACATCACGGTATGGAGTTTTGACATAATGTAATAAAGTGTTGATATAATATAAAGATATGTTCACATTATGTTATACACTTTTTACACCACGTAATAAAGCACTGACATAAAGGTAAGATATGTGTTCACCTCACATCATGATGCCCTCGCCGTAAAATAAAAATAAATCCATATCACGTAATAATACTTTGATATAATAGAAATATGCACTCTCAAAAAGGAATGGGCTTTTGACTTCACGTGATGATAAGTTTCATCATAAAACACAATTTACTTGACGTAATGCAATTTTGACCTCACATATTAAAGAAATGAAATGATGTAAAGAAACATTCATTTCACGTAATAAAGTTTTAACACAATGTAAACACATTATCACTTCACATAATGAATTTTTTACTTCAAGTTATGAAGTGCTGACATAATGAAAGGATGTATTTACTTCATGTAATGCAGCATTGACATGATGTTAAGATATATTTTCATCATCCCATAAAAATGGACATAACGTAAAGATATATTCACATCACGTAATGATAAATTGACGTAATAAATGCATAGTTGTATGCTATAAGGCAGTGATGGCGTTCCATAAAATTTTATAAACTTTATTTCATAATATTGTCAATTAATACCAAAGTGCAGATTTCAAAGCATCAAATTATTTTCAGACTATGTACCCCCCCCCCCCCCCAAAGTACCTCTGTCCCTGGGGCCAGGAAATTAACCATTTTTGGAAGAAGCAGCTTTCTTCGTCATAAATATATATACTAAGATCATTGGCATAATACCCAGGAACCAAGTAAAAGATTTTGAAAGGATTCATGCATTTTCAATATATAAATATTAGAGCCCCACCCTAACACAAGAAGCCCTGGCCCAGGGGCCCTGAAATTCAAAAATCTCAATGAGGCATCCTTCCTCCTCATAACTATGTACAAAGTACATTGGTTTAATACCCAGGTGCAGAAAAGAAGATTTTTCAAGAATTTATGCATTTTCACTATATAATCAATAGAGCCCCACCCTAACACCAGAACCCCCAACCCAGGGGCCGTGAAATTCAGAATTTTGGAATAGGCAGCCTTATTTAACAAAACTATGTACTTGGTTAGTTTATTGAATACTCAGGAGCAGAGAAGAAGATTTTCAAAGAAATAATTCATTTTTTACTATATAATCTATTATATAGCCCCGCCTAGCACTAGAACCCCTGACCCTGGGGCCATGAAATTCACAATTTTGAAAGAGGCAGTCTAATTCAACATAGCTATGCACTTGGTTAGTTTATTTAATGACCATGAACAGAGAAGAAAAATTTCAAAGAATTTATGCATTTTCACTATATAATATATATACCCCCCCCCCCCCAAGCACTAGAACCCATGACCCTGGGGCCATTAGATTCATTCACAATTTTTGAAAAGACAGCCTTATTCAACATAATTATGCACTTGGTTAGTTTATTTAATGCCCATAAACAGAAAAGTAGAGTTTCAAAGAATTTATGCATTTTCACTATATAATCTATTTAGCCCCACCCTAGCACTAGAACCCCTGACCCTAGGGCCATGAATTTCACAATTTTGGTAGAGGACTCAATGCTGATTACAATCATGCCAACAGTTTGACTGCTTGATGTCCAGGAGTAAAGAAGAAGATTTTTAAAGATTGCACTAATTTTAGTGATTTTGGCCCCACCACTCAGACCTTAAGGGGGGCAGGGATTATGAAATTCACAATTTTTGTTCCCCTTCACCCATAGATGCTATATGCCAAATTTGGTTGAAATTGGTTCAGTGGTTTCAGAGAAGAAGCTGAAAATGTTCAAATGTTAACGCACGACGGACGACGCACACCCGCACGACGACGGACGAAAACAGATAGCAATAGGTCACCTGAGTTTACTCAGGTGACCTAAAAAGTCAATGACTAAATGGATTATCATGTTCTTGTGGTGCAGTGGTTAGAGCGTCAGCTTTAGAAGTGTGGAGTAAGGAGTTAATTCTTACGTCGCGGATTCGAATCTCACTGTGGGACTTGGAGACCGGTCCTTTGGATGAGACCGTATAAACCGAGGTCCCGTATCGCAGTAATGGTTTGGCTCGAAAACAACCCCTCCCTGCTCAATGGCCCTGAGTGCCGGGTATTGGACAAAATTTGCAGCTCTCCGCCGGCATTTGGTGGCGTCTCCATATGAGTGAAAAATTCTCGAGAGGGACGTTGAACAACAATTTTTTAAACAAACAAAATTTAATTCAAAATCAAATAAAAGAGAACCAAAACGCTCACTTGAGTTACTATATGAACGCGAATTTCATGTTCACCCATAAAATTCTTTATTAACATTGTTCGCCCATTTTGGACTCTCCTAGTCCCCGAAGGAATAATAATATGGACAGTTTTGCACCTACATTACCTGAAGATGCTTTTATATGACTAAATATGGTTTTTCCTGAACATATAAAGTACAGTTATGAAATTTTCACTTCAAATAGTTGATGCTGTCTTGTGACAGTCGTGCTTTCCATAACTGATCATTTAATTCCACTACTAAGTATGTAGAATGTCAGAAGTCCATACCTTTTAAGTCCAAATCTCCATAACTTCTGCTTTCTGGAAAAAATAAACAATTTTAACATACATTTATACACTCAGAACACTTATGTTTAAACTGAAGTTTGGCAGTTGACTTCAACTCAACATATTATCTGAATAATTAATTTGTACGTAATTCATATGATAAGCAAACATTACCTTTAATAATTTGTCGTGAGTTGCTGAGGATACTTTCAATAAGCGTGGTATTGGGGACGTACAGAATGCTGTGGTATCCCGTGGCTAGACTTTCCTTTTCATACGTCGTCGCCTCTTTGATCTTGAAGTCATAATCAGCTAGATTTCTGATAACTATTAATAGCACGGGAAAAGCTAGTGGAAGAATAATTTCAAAAACGGTCACGCATATTTTTCGTCTTTGCAGAAGTATATTTTTCCACGACAATAGCAGAAATTGTGAGAAGAGTCCGGCCACCATTTTTGGACAGGTGCAAAGAATTTCGTTATTGAATCTGTAAGCAAAATGAAAAAAAAAATGTATACAGATTTTCATTTTTGATATTGCCAACAATTTGAACTAAAACTGTCCAAAATAGACGAATATCTCCGCAGTTTTTTTTATTGTTTTTTTTTTTCAGAAAAAGAGCTAAGTTAATAACGGTATTTTATAGATCTAAAGGTGTTCAAAATGTTTATCATTGATTAACAGTCAAAATTTAATAGAACTTAAATAACAATTTGATAAGCTAAGCAATTCGGATTAACCAATATCTTTTTTTAATTAATTTGTATGTCAATTTTGGTACCATCATCTCGTAGACCCTTTAGGGTAATATCATGTAATGCAAACAGAAAAACGATTAAATTTATAAAGAAGAAATAGGCATCAGATGGCAGATAAAAGTAATTTGTTATGCTTTATGTCATTATGAAGTAATAAATTTTTGATCTTGACCTGTCACTGCTATATTCACTAAGTCGACCTCCAATATGGCGGCCAAATAAAAACGGTCGAATGCAACTATCATTCAGATAAAATATTTGTTAAATAACTTTGAAGATTCTACAATAAAAGTATGACAAGAATCCCTCCCTAATAAAGTAATCGGTACCAAATTTAATTTTTGAAAATAAAAAAAGGAATTCGTAATTTACTGCATAACCTTGTCAATGGTCATTTGCAAAATTATTTTATTAAAAAAACATTCTGATTGTACATACAAGAATTCTGAAAATGATATTAAAAAGATGCTTGAGTTTGTGATTGACAATATTTTTTTTTTTTTGACCAAGTCTTCCAACAATCTATTGGAATTCCCATGGGTACCAATGGCGCCCCATTATTAGCAGATTTATTTTTGGCTTTCATATGAAGCAGAATGTGTCTTAAAGCTTATACGTGAAATGAAGAAAACACTTGCTGTGGTCTTCAACACGACATTTAGATATATCGACAACGTATAGTCAATTAACAATGGTAATTTCCATTCTTTTATGTCGATACGATATATCCTGGTGAACTTGAAATTTAAGATACCACAGAGTCTGACAGGATCGACATCGTTCGAACAATTGGCTTTTTTCTATAAATAACGATAACTTTGTGACTCTTAATCTAGAGAATGAAAACCTCAAGTAAACAGCAATATGTCATTCCATTACTATCATTATGACGTCATCCACTACCCTTGGTACAGAAGCTGTTTTATTTACTAAGAAAAGTGAAAACTTGGGATCCACGCCCTCAAAGCAACCACCGTTAAACTGTGCGTCTCGCCACTGTTGCGGAATATTGGTGATTTGCATCAATTATTCTTTTATCGCTATGGAAAATGTCCAGGAATTCTTGGCATGCCCACACTGAGTAGTGGACCAGCCTTAATTTCTTTGTTTCAAATATTTCAGCTTTTTCATATTACAAAGTATTTGTGAGAAATGCTGTCTACAACCGTCTAAGATGGATGTGTTTTTGATTTTTTTTAATTTGAAAGCTTTTAGGCAGGGAAAAAAGTTAGCAACTTTTATGTGATAGATACATAGATAATACCACTTTCCTATTTTGTGCTCTTGACTGCACACTTTAACAACAAGAGGCCCACGGGCCTTATAGGTCACCTGAGTATTGTGTAACAACTTTCAAACAATTAAATTTGGTTCATGTTTTTAAACCAGAGGCCATGGAATTCGCAATTCACAATTTTGAAAGAGGCTTCATTGCTTGTCATAATTATAGACTTAGCATGCTTACTCTATTTACTTAATATCCAGAGGCAGATCAGAGTAACAAAGAGAAAATGCACTTCAACTTTATAACAAGTTGCGCACATCACCCCAAAGGAACCACTGACCCTGGGGCCACATATTTCAAAATTTTGTATATTATATCATAAAATAGTTGATTAAAACCAAAGAGCAGATTTCAAAGCATTAATTTATTTTCAGACTATATGTTATCCCCCCTGACCCGCGGGGGGGGGGGATAAAAAAAAATAACCATTTTGCTAGATGCACCTTTCTTCATCATAAACATATACGAGGGTGATCAAAAAGTTCGCGAACTAATTGAATAACTTCCGTAAAAGAAATGATATGGGGTTTCAGTGTTGAAAATGTTTCAAAGTAGTCCTCTCCTATTTTAATGCGCATCTGCAATCATTCTGCCCATGCGCGGATCACGTGATATAGGCGATCACGTGACATGCTCTTTAGCGTTCTGTCGCAGAAGCTTAACATTTTTTCGGATTCTTTTATTTCTTACCATGCAAGTTATTTTTTGCAACAAAAATAGTACATTTGTCAGAAATGGCCTAATCTCTGCAATAGTGTGGGTGGATAATGATATCCTTTTTCAGAATAAGCATGGTGACCATCAAAACCCAAGTCCTCTGTCTTTTGAGCGTCGTTTATTTCATGTGGATAAAGTATGAGTGCCTTCACTTTATCATATCTTATATGTTTAAAGTCTAACATAAACGATATTTTAGGGATTAGATAATTATATTATTGTAAAGATATTCATCATCCTTTCTAACTGTAAGTTGGCGATCTTTCAAATTAAATTGCTTAACAAAGGAATGTCTCTCTCCCAGTTTGCTTTCACCGGGAAACAGAACAAACATCATTTTTAAATATCTCCCTTCCTTCACTTAATCAATCAATACAATTAATGACAAAACTTATGGCAAGTCTTTTGTCATCATAAACCGTGTACAAATTATTATAAAATTCTACAAAGGAGTTTCTAAGATATACGTTTAACTTTACAGCCGTTCATTTCTCGAATACGACTGAGTCAACCATTTTTTGTCTCAAGTGATCTACCTTATGACGTCATTTTCAAATTGTGACGTCACAAACACGGGACAAAACGTTCCATTACATATTTTTTTACAGAACATGTGTATGACTCTATGTGTGCCAAATTTCATTCTGATCTGAATTGCTGTTTTCTAAATATAGAGATAATTCGCGAACTTTTTGATCACCCCTCGTATACTTGGATCGTTGGCATAAAACCCAGGAGCAAAGGAAAAGATTTTCAAAGAATAAATGTATCTTACATTTGTAACTATATATTAAATCAATATAGTCCCGCTCTGACACCAGAACCCCTGACCCTGGGGCCATAAAATTCACAATTTTGGAAGAGGCACTCTCTCTTATCATAACTATGTGCTAAGTTAGTTTATTAATACCCAGGAGCAATAACGAATATTTTTCAAAGAATTAAAGCATTTTCACTATATCATCAATAGAGCCCCGCCCTGACATCAGAACCCCTGACCCTGCATGGGGCCATAAAATTCACAATTTTGGAAGAGGCACTCTTGCTCAACATAACTATGTACTTAATAGTTAGTTTATTTAATACCCAGGAGCAGAGAAGAAGATTTTCAAAGAATTAATGCATTTTTACTGTATGATCAATAGAGCCCCGCCCTAACACCAGAACCCCTGACCCTGGGGCCATAAAATTCACAATTCTGGAAGAGGCACTCTTGCTCAACATAACTATGTACTTACTTTATTTGATACACAGAAGCAGAGAAGAAGATTTTCAAAAAATTAATGCAATCAAAAGGACCCCGTCCTTGCACCAGAACCCCTGACCCTGGGGCTATAAAATTCACAATTTTGGAAGAGGCACTCTTGCTCATCATAACTATGTACTTAGTTAGTTTACTTAATGCTCAGGAGCAGAGAAGAAGATTTCCAAAGAATTAATGCATTTTCACTATATAATCTATATAGCCCCGCCCTAGCACTAGAACCCCTGACCTTGGGGACATGAATTTCACAATTTTGGTGGAGGAGTCATTGGTCATTACATTCATGCCAACAGTTTGTCTGCTTGATGTCCAGGAGTAAAGAAGAAGATTTTTAAAGATTGCAATAATTTTAGTGGTTTTGGTCCTACCCCTCAGGCCCCAGGGGGACGAGGACCATAAAATTCACAATTTTTGTTCCCCTTCACCCATAGATACTGTATACCAAATTTGGTTGAAATTGGTTCACGACGACGGACGAAAACGGATAGCAATAGGTCACCTGAGTAACTCAGGTGACCTAAAAATACAAGAGAGATCGAGTTCTGATTGAAAGGTTATATACACAGATAAACACAAACACACACACATAAGATATAATCCATACAAATAACTGTACGAGCAGCAGTTCGAGTTATCACCTTGCAATTTACATATGGTAAAGGAATTTTTTGACCATTATTATTTTTCACAGATTCATATACCGGTATATACCATTTTTCAATTCATAGGTCATAAGCACTTATTATAAATCTAGATATAAATTTTCTTATTTCAGGAGATTAATATGCATTTTTATTAATTTTTTAATCATAACACGAAGAAAGAAAAGTTTGATGTATTCGTTAGTTTTATTTAGAGTTGTACAATAGATTTTTATATCAGCACACCATGTAGAACAGGATCCGCCAACTGCTTCTTTATCCAAATTATCGTACAGTGAATTTTTAAATAGAAAATATCGTTACCTTGATATAAAACAATTTCAATGATTCGTAGTGTTTTAATATATTTGATCAGTGCTTACTATCAGTTCAAGATGTATTACTGTAGTCAGCGGCGACTCACACAAATTTTTCCGACGAAAATAGTTCCATCATGATAAGTAGATACAACATTATTGTTTATGATAAGAATAATGCTGTGTATGTCATACGTACAAGAAACCAAAATTAACGTATTTTTTTCTCCAAAGATCACTTTCCCCCCGAAATGCAAATAAAAAATGTTTATTTAATATTCCTACGCTCGCTCCCTCCTCAGCTTTTTTTTTTCGTAACATGTTTGATAGCAGAGAATATCTAGTCATTCTTCGACATAGGCGCTTGGGTCAAGGATACTGTATTTTTTCTATATAATGTATTGTCGAGGAAATTCGAACTATACTCGTAACAATTTTTTTCACTGTGCAGTGTTAATTTTTAGTTTTTTTGTAAACCTTTCTGCTTCATATACACTAGAATGTC